GGGAATTACTTTGGAAGAATGACGTGCCTCTTCAGGACTTCAGGCAAGAAGAGTCACCCGAGACTTCCTTGCCGCTACCTCAAAATCCAAATTCATTTTGGAGAGGAAGCACAGGTACGACTGCTCGACCTGGTATGCCAACGATGCAGGCTCCGAGCCCTTTTGTGGGGATGGATACCAATTTTCCCTCGGTACCCCAGGTTATGGACGAGTTTTCTACGCTCTTTGGATACGGTTTCGGTCCTAGTCCTGACAGTATGGCCGGCACAGCTAATGGGGGCATGTGGATGGGCCCTTGAAACTCCACGCATGCCTCTTTCAAGTGGATTACTCCATGTTCTTGAAGGAGAAGAAGGATATATCCCACGTCGTTCGGGCATGTTCCATTGCTGTGGCTGTTCGGCTGAGATGCCGAGAAAGCATACCATCAGAGTAACAGGCTTACCCAACCCACGCACCTAGTGTCAGCAGAGCTCTGCTACGGAACAATAGTCTGCGGAGGGCCCGGATGACCACAGGACTACTGGTTTGAGGTACAGCATAACTTCCGGTGTTTGCTCGCACTACCATAGCAATCTTGGCTCTGTTTTACATTATGAAACATAAGGTCGTTGCCTCACTCTTCGGGCACCGTGACCTCATCAGCTGTCTTCGGTTTTGTCCTGCCAAGTCGGTTTCAAGAGAACGGATACTGCAATAGCAAACACGCGGGCTGGAACGCCACTGTTTGGAAAGTAAGAGGAAACACAAATCGTATTTTTTTCTTTCTTTCTTGATTAACCGATACCACTCGTTTTAATCTAAAACTCATTAGATTTCTCAAATTGCCTCGAGTACTTGCAAGCAACTGCCACGAGAAGTCTTTGACTAAGAACCTCAAACTCAACGGTGGTGAATGGCAGTCTGTATTGGCACAAGCCAGAATCAAGGAGATCAACCTGGCGAAAAGCCAGTGCACACTTTCTTTCACATATCGAAAGTGAATACTCTAGTTATTCACACCGATGCCATTAAACATCGTTCAAACCCGACAACCTACCTCTATATCCAACAGCACTCAAAGCCCAATGACTAGAAAGAGAGAAAGAAAAAGAAGGAGATTTTTATGGCGAAAAGGCAAGCACCATCATAGATTAGGCTGATAAATAAACTACTGTTACAAATTCCCTACCCGTACACGAAACCCCCAATGAACATGCATCTTTTCACTGTTGGCTCTTAAACCAGCCGATTTGTACAAGGAAATGGCTGCTCTAGGCACGCTGTGTCTGTCGCTTCTGAGATCTGCGCATCTCCTTCTCTCTCTCCTTCTCGAGGTATCGCTTTTGCGCCTTGGCATCAAGACCCTTGAGCTCAGCATCGCGCTTAGCCTTCCGGGCCTTTTCCTTCTCAAGAAGGAGTTCCTCTTGGCGTTGGCTCTCAGCGGTCTTCTTAAGCTCACTGATGGCATGCTCACGGATGCTGCGGACTTTCTTGGAAACCTCAGGACGGAAATGGGCAACCTTGACAAGAACATCGGGAAGCTGGAGAAAGTGCGAGAAGAGAGGTAGAAGATTGTCGTAATTGTCATTGGAAGGGAGGGCGTACTTCAGGAAGAGTCGCTTGCGGGGAGTCGTCTCCTCAAGGGTAGCAGGCTTATCAACAGGCTGATCGGAGATAATGAGGTACTCAAACAGATCGCCAGCGGCTCGAACAGCGGCAATGAGTTCAGGAGTAAGGAGAGTATCAGTGATCTCGGCGCTCTCGCTCATAACAGTGAGCCAAGCGGGAAGCTTAGGGTTATCTTTGGTGAAGGTGAGAGACACATCATATCGGTCGTCGCGGACGCGGCGCATGACGTCTTTGTGCACAACACCCCAAACAAAACCATCGTAGGTGCTCTTAGCATCCTTGGCGCGGATTTCAGAGGCACCAGGAGTAGAGGGGACTGTAAGACTCTCCTTGCCATCAAAGGGGTAGGTCAGAACCTCGACGGCATCCTTAGGCGCATCAACAGTCTCGACGAAAAAGCTTGCCACATGCTCGAAGCCGTTAACAATTGGGTTGAACTTCTTGGTCAGGGTGACCTTGAAGTCGGTGAAAGCTGTGTTCTGTCGACCAGTAGCGTATGTTGCAAATTCAAAGAGGGATTTCTCCTTGATGAGTCTATCGGGATTGACATCTTCGTTGTCCAAGGTGGGAACACCACTGAAGCCAACAAGAGCATACTCCTTCTGGAGAACGGGGGCGTGGGCGCGGATCCAAGCCTTGGCCCTGGAACGATTGCGACGAGCGCCAATCATATGAAGGAGGAAGATAAAACTCGAGATGAGGAGAATGATGCCCTCAAGCCTGAACTCGGACAGGGAGTGACGCTCGTGGACATTGTACCACTTGGTGTATGGAACGGTCGTAGCAGCAGCAGCAGCAGCAGTAGCACTTCCGGCTGTCGCATCCTGGGTAGCGGCCTCAGGAACTGGATTGGGAGCTTCGGCGAAGTCTGCGAAGTCTAGAGGAGGATGTCGCGTGTCAGTCATGATATTCAATTCCACTCTTTGCGCGTCGCAATATTGCGCAATTGTCAAATACTCAGAGTATTTGGTGATACTAACCGGAATCTGGACTCGCAGGCTCAGGGGCCTTTGCACCTCCAAAGGCGTTCTTCAAGAAAGATGCCATTTTCGAGTCTTCGGCAAGGGGATTAAGAGGTCGTGGCTGAGGAGGGGAAGAGGCGAAGCGAAGTTAGCAAGAGGCCACGGCGTGAGGAGGCAAAGAAATAGGCGATGTGGGTGATGCGGAGAGCTTACCTTCCAATAGCTTGGCAAGGTGGAGACGAACCCAACTGATGGCATCTTGAAGCTAAGCTGCAAAGGGCATCTGAACTCAATTCTTCTGGACTCTCAAAAAGCCTCCAGGTCTCTAAAATTCGAAGCGACAGACTTAAAAGTCCTTTGTAAATACATAGCACGTCCTTCAATGAGGTTACCACGAGTTGGACGTCAATTGTTACGGATATAAATAAGCAAGGAAAACTGGGAAATGCATTTCCATATGGCGTATGCTCATTGTTCAGAAAGTCACCCAGTGCGTGTGCATAAAATCTATTGAGATCATATAAAACAGAGGCTGAATATCTGATCTCTGCTCACAGAGAGGCCTTTGCCTTCAAGGCACCATCCAACACCTCATCAAGCCATTTCGTGATATGCTGGTTCACAGCCTCAGAAGCCTGCCATAACGCCCAGTGAGACGCTTTGACTTCCTCTCGAGTTAAGTTGGCAAAGGCCGAGTCCATTCCCTTAGACATAGACGGCGGGAGAGCGGAATCGTCAGTTGCAGTGATAAACAAAGCTGGCATCTCGAACTTGTGGCCACCTTTCTTGGCCACCTCTGCATCGTCGCGGTGGTTGAGCTCCTGCATGCGGTAATAGTTTAGGGGGCCACGCAGCTCAGGTGGTTCTTTCGAGGCATATTCTTTGGCATAGTAGTCCAACTCTTCCTTACTGACAAGTGGCGAAGGGCCGAGTTCCGGTAGCTTATCGAAGTAGATGCCGTCCTTGGCAGAGAACCCAAGGTCACCACTAGGTGTGCGGCCGCCATAGAGGGCATTCAAGAACTGCCGGATCTTTTCCTCTCCTTGGAGACGCGATTGAACCTCGGGGCCCTTGAACTGTAGCTGGTAGCTAAAGTTGAGCAGATGGCCACTCTGAATGATAGCTTCGAGGGGGACAAACGTCTCTCTGGGCTGCATGTAGGGTGTGCAGACACTGAAGACACTCTTAATCAATTGAGGATACCGGCAGGCGGCCTTCCACACAATAGCACCACCCCAATCGTGTCCACCAAGAATGATCTGTCCATCCTCTCCGACGTACCTCCGAGCCAACTCGTTAATGTCAGCCGAAAGGCTCTTGTATGTGTACTCCTCAAGCGACTCTGGAGCATCGGTACCACCGTATCCCACCATGTCGGGGACAATGACCCGGAATCCTAGGGACATAAGGTAGGGAACCTGATAGCGCCAGCCAAATCCAAGATCTGGAAAGCCATGGATAAGAACTATTGTCTCCAGTGGGGTGCCCTCAGGCTCTCCAACAATGTACTTGTAGTTTTTACCCCGAATCTGGGCAGTCTCGGTCTTGACCCGAGAGTCGTTTGGCACAAGCTTATCAGGAGCCATACTGAGTAACTTGCCGTCCCGTGTTCTTTTTGTGCGATCTGTTAATATCGTTAATGATGAGATGTTGTAAAACTCTAGGTTTAAACTAAGTTGCCTGTCTGTGTGGGGAAGCCAACTGGTGTTGAATTACATCATGCTGGAATACGGTACTTACTTTCTTGTTATAAATGATCCGTAGGTGCCTTGTTCAGCTGAATTCTTGCAAACAAAGTACCAGTCACCTGTAACGACCGGGATCGCAAATGTACAAAAATTTCTGTTAACTTGAGACTGCATGGCGCAAAGTCAGTCTATATAGCACAAGTTTGATCCTGGACAGCTCTGAATGTGCTGTAACTAGGGTGTAGTCCGAGTAAACCGAGGCATGAACGGGAGGACTTCCTAATTTAGGATAATCGGACTGCGAATCGCGGCTAAGACCAACGAAGCATACGTTCGTCCTCGACTCCTCGGCATGTTACATAACATAGTGTAGGTCAATCAATGGTGGATTGACGGTGGAGGCCTTGAAGCGGTCTGCCCGAGTCCGAGTCCGAGGTCAAGTACCTAAGTAGGTAAGGTAGGTGGACAACGAGGTAACAAAACAATGAGAAGACATCCCCGAGACAGCTTCCATGGGGTATCAAATTGTATTAATAGTAAAACAATCGGGCTTAATAATAAAGATCCAACAGAAAGCGCCTTCCTTCATGAACATGAGATCTCTACATCTCTCGCGAATCCGAACATAGGTAAGTTGTGCAGAATGGAATCTTATACGATTTCCTCCTCCAGGTCAACAAGTCAAACCAAGACAGCAGCCCGTGCACTGCATCCAAATGAACCACACCAGTGACAATAATCAGTAAATCACCATATCTTCGTCAGCTTCCTCCAATACATCTGCCGCCTCATCGTGATGATGGTCATGATTAGACGCCTGAATCAGCTTCTCTTGACCATGTGGCGATTTGTCGGGCCCATTTATGCCTTTGGAGTCGTGATCCAAGTCCTCCCTTGACGGCGCTGTCGTCTCTAGCGGCTGTCTTCCTCCTTTCGCCTGTTGCCCTTTTCTTGCGTTCAAACCTTCAACTTCGCGCTCTATTGTGACCTTCGTTTGCCGGATCTGATCATCTATTGTGTCTTCTTGTTCTGCTGTAAGCTTCCAAGGAAGATAGTACTAGATGTGTCAATACCAATTTCGAAGTGATAGATGTTGGCGTCAACTTACGATATGCGGCCTTGATTTTGTGCGTAGGTACGGAGCCATCGCAAGCATTTTGATATGCTTGCTATGCATCTATGCAATCTTGTCAACTCAACAGTGCAGCAATTGGCAACCCAGCGGCCAACTCACAACCTCCTCATCGAGCGTCAGTTGTTCGCCTCTCCGGATCTCAGTGAGTCGCAGTCGTTTCTCCTCGCGCAGCCTATCTTCCTCAATGTTCTGTTTCTGTAACCGGTCTTGTTGTCTGCGTTCTATCTCCAAACGGCGCTTCTGCTGCACACTGCCACTTGTCTGGCTCAGGGTGCTGAGAAGACCCCCGAATAACCGCTTCCCGCGTCTCTTCTCTTCTTGTGTCGCGTTTTTACGGCGATCTATGTCGATGTCTGGAGAGTCTCCATATGAATTGTGGCGGTTTGTAGAAGAGTTTCTCCTCCGTGGTTCGCTTGGTGCTTCGCGGAAATATTCGTCATGTTTCGTTCGTTTCGGGGAGAGTTCGCCAGCGTTTATTGAAGCCTTTCTTTTCATAGAGTCCTTGTTCGGTGCATACTCAGACATTGTATCTTTATCTTGCTCGTGGTCTGCTTTGGTATCATCCAAGGGACGGAGCCTAGAGTGAAGTTAGTAAGGTACAGAGAAGAAGGATTTCGATTTGAAAGCACTCATTTCTGGGTTCCATCTTTGATCATCGTTACAGAAGCCTAGCTGTTTGCGCATTAGTAGTTAGACATAGAACTAGCCTATTCAGCTGTACCAGATGAGGTGGAAAAGAAAGGTAGGCTGAAGCTTGGTGATGTCCCTTGTCAAGGCTGAGAAAGGTGGGGATTGTGATGTCGTGGGAAGCGGCAAGATCTAGAGCGCCCCACCGTCTTGATTGGCTAGCAGCTCTGTCGCCCCTCGAAGCTGTCAGAAACGCTTTCACAAGGCTGAGAAATCTCCAATCTTGAACTTTACAACATTACGCCGGGATTTTGCGCCCTTCTTTTTTCCTCAACACATCACTAACTCTGACGGCGCGTCTCATAACCAAACTTCATATATTGTTTCCCCGCCTTGTCACAGACATCCTCGTCATAGCCATGTCTCGCCATCATCCGTAAGTAGTCATTGATTCTGTCTTTTTATGATAGTAGCTTAACTAACTGTCGCGCAGCGATCTTGTTATGTGTCGCAAACAGGCCGGTATTGCCATCGGTCGTCTCTGTGATAAGTGCGATGGTAAATGCCCAGTTTGCGACTCCTACGTTCGGCCCACGACGCTCGTACGCATTTGTGACGAATGTAGCTTCGGCAACTACCAGAATAAATGCGTTGTGTGCGGTGGTGAGGGCATCTCGGACGCGTTCTACTGTTTTGAATGTACTCGCCTCGAAAAGGATCGCGACGGATGTCCTAAGATTATAAACCTCGGCAGTTCGAGAACAGATGTGAGTAGTCCCTGGACCATTGTAGTCTGGCTTAGCAGCAGGGTGCTGACAATACTCTTCCCAGTTATTCTACCAAAAGAAAACGAATCGTACAACGCAATACTAGCCGAGTTGTGGCCTGGGCTGGCCATGCAGTATGTTGTTCGGTTGATTCGTGGTCAACTTAGATCTGTCATCATAGGTGTTTAGGCGTAGAAGGGAATATGAAAACGCGGTTTTTTGGATTGAGCGGCAGCTACCTAGTAATTACAATTCACTTGCTTGTTCCTCATTCAAATTTGCCAGAACTCGCCCCCAGAGAAATACACTACGGCTGAAAAGAAAGGCTCTACCCAGAGACTCCTCGTAACACATGAAATACTGATAAGTAATACAACGGAAAGAATTGATTAAATGTAGCTGACCTTCACCCCCATTCCGGCTGTGCCCTTGACCTTAGACCAAAAGACCGCAAGCATTCTCTTCACTCTCTCCCGAATGTTGGTGTTACTCAACATGAGAATCAAGCCCATGACAAACGCCAGAAATTTGAATAAGAACATCGGGTTTGAGTTTAGTGAGGAGCCCAAATTTTCGATAATAGTCCGCAGTTGTGTGATAACCATGGAAGCGCGTGATGTAAGAGTTGGGGCCTGCGAGACTGCTTTGCCATTGGCTTTGGGGCCTGCTTGATTCGTCCCTCGAGGCCTTGACTGTTTCGACGACGAAGATGATGGAGCTCTGGCCTTTCGAGGTCGAGTTGACCCGGTATGGCTAGCTGTATCGTCAATCCCGTAATCAACCTCGCTCCCTTCGCGCTTCAGACGCTCCTCTTCTATTCGTCTTCTTTCCTTCTCTTCGTTCTCGGCGCGCAGTCTCTTCGCCTCCTCAATTTCTCTCTTCAGCTCATTCTCCTGTCGCTGGCGCTCCTCATTCTCCAGTCTTTCCTGTTCTTGCTGTTCATCGTGTAGGCTTTGCAATGCTTGCAGGAAGGCTTCGCGGCGCTCTTCATCTAGGACTGAGCTGACGCTGATAAATTCACGAGCATAATCCCATTCGTTGTTGCGCAAGAGGACATGGAGGGTGTATAACTCCAGAATCTTGACACGAGCATTTAGATCTCTAGGCGTGTTGGCGCCACTCGCCCCCTTCGCAGGAGACCGATATCGGTTCGACATGGGCGAGCTCGTTGATTCAGCGAGCCGCCCAGCGACATCAAGATTTGGTGTGTTGGAGGCGGCCAGATAAGCCTCGAGTTTGTGCTGGTTAAGCTTCTGGTCACGGGCATGTGCCAACAATATTGTCGCGCTGCTCGAGTCAGTCTATGTCTCAATTCGGCGCATTCCAAACGACTTACAGATTAATGACTACGTCGGAGTCAACATCGCCCTCCACTCCATGGTAACCATTCGTGACTACCTCATCCCATATTTCTCCTTCGCGAACTTTGGTACACAAGGCTCTCCATTCTTGGTTTCCGAAAGCATCCTTGCCCTCCTCGGGTTCTAACTCGACAATACCATTGAGGATAGTAAGATACAGGCTCCAGACCTTAATGCGAGTCGTTCTTGATGCTCGAGCAACTGGCGCAGGTTCGCCGTCGTCAACATGTTCGGGTGGAGTAATCAACGGGACTAGTGTCGTCAGAGCTTCAGGCAAACGACGCGTGAGGAATAAAGTAGAAGCCTGTCGATAGGTCTTCGAAATTTGGGAAGGATGCCGTGAAGATGTAGAAGAAGCTAGAGAGGATATAGATGTCGATAGGAGGCTGTTTGACAGGCCAGAAGGTCCAGTTGAAGATGACATCGCGGTCGGACTGTAAGCGGCGTGATTGTTAAAAGACATGCTGACAGTTGTTTGAAAGCAATGGGATCAGAATCGCTAGCACGGAAGCTGCTGAGGCTTAAAGTCGTCTACACATAAAATGCGGTGATGGTCCTTTGGAGGTGGCGGAGAGTTGAAGTTCGGATCGTATAGTTAGAGGACAAGCGGTATGTGACGGAAACGGAGCTCGATGGAAGACCGGGAGACAAAAGAAGAAACAGGGCAAATATTGAATCACCCCAGATTCATGGTTCATCAATTGAGCATCGTCGGAATAACAAGAGAGGTACAGGAACTCAGGAACGCAGGCAAAAGGCCAATTTCGGGACTCACGCGTCAGGGCCGAATTCAGTCAAGAAGGCCGTGACATGTGGTTTGTAGGAGTAACATAACAATTGGGGAGCTGGCAGCCAACCAGGTCAACGGTAGAAAAACAATCTAGTAAATTTAGCCTCGGTACGGGTACCTACTTCTTGATTTCCAGGTGGGGCAAGACTCCATTTCCAGCGCATCCCCCAGTTCCGAATCTCCGATCAAGAGGAGCCGACAACGGCTGAAGCACGGCCGAGGTTGACAGCTACAAACCTTTGACATTTATAGGCAAATATTATTCAGGTACCGATAGCAAGACTTCCTTATCTGCCTCGATAAAACAACAACATGTTGTATTGATTTCCTCAATAACTTAACGAACCCACGAAATCCGGTTATTGATTATGACGCAGCTCAAGAGTCATTCGTTCCGAACTTTCTGAAGGGCTAAGCTCGGCATCTACTCCGCTTGTTGTTTTGTATGTTGTTGTCTCAACGGGTGTCTTCATTTCCCATTGATCCAATGACCTACCATAGTAGGTATGCCTTATTAAGGGACAGGAAAACTTCAGACCTTGACAGATGATATCAAAACAAAAACGTCCAAAGCTTATGACAACTTACCCGAGTCTTTTTGTCACTTGCCTAAGATCGAGGTCTAATGTTTTCTTGCCTCTCCTGGCTAGGCTCGGCAGGATACGCCAAATACAGCAGTGACTTATAGCAGAGTTGAATCCACCATGGTTAATAAATACCAGTGAGTCATTCTCAATACTTACTCTTGTTTAATTATTACTATTACTATTACTACTATTATTGTTCTTATATGTGAACAGCATGCAATCCAATTTGTGTCCAGTGAAGTCTCTCACACGTGATCGGCATCTTGGATTCCCCAGCACCAAGGTGCTTGGTATTACATTATCTAATAAACTTTCTAAAATTTGATAAAATAACTAAAATGTAAATACATCAGATCATATGAAGAAAAGCACCTCACACGGTCAATTATATATGTACTCTCTAAGAATATATCTTTGGGGTTAATGAATCTTTACTGTATTTAGCAATATCTGGTTCCTAGGGCAATACAATGGAAGATTAGCAAAACTATTGGCTTGGTCGGCTTTCAATGTAAAGGCAAAGACACCCTGTAAATAGATATTGTTCACATGAAAAAGCCCCTGGTATTTGAACTCCACCCTAAATCTATCATCAGAACGCCGCCCATTCTATCGTCCAATCTATCCCACACATGGCACCTCCAACTCATTGCCTTCGAGTTGACCTCCTGGCTGGCGCGCTCTCTTGCTTCACACCCTTGACATCATCTCGCACGCCGATAATGCTGTCTTCTCTTTCAATCAGTGACTCATCAACACCATTTAGTTGTTCCTGACGAACCCACCCCGCCTCAACTGCAAAGCATACCACGTCTGCAGCACAGCTGAAGCAGGGCAACTCATTTCCAGCGTCTGGATCCAGGTAATTCCACATCTCTCGGGTCTCTTTCTTGAATCTTGCAAGCTCCTTCCTATCACCCTTGAAATGACTTATCAAATATTCGTAGAGGTATGCCAGCCAAAGTACATTCGAGTACGGAGCATATACGTCCCATGAGAGTTGTCCGTCGATACCCTTAGCGTAGGGCGTCTCGTGAGCTTCTGGGGGGAGGCATATACGGTCAGCACGGAGAAGGAATGACCTCATTCGGCGATAAACTTTGCATTGTGCTGCATGAGTACTGGTGAACAGGCTGAGGTCTCTTTCGAGATCAAAGGCCACAGGTTTCGCATTTTCAATGGAAAGATCTTCACCACGAGACAGGCCGTAGTCCAAAATCGTGATATCCAAGCCCGAAAAGCCAAAGAAGCCCGCTGAAGGAGGACCCATGTCTCGAGGTGGCTTGACTTGCCGCATACATAAGTTACCCTCGTGAAGATCACGATGCTACTATAAGTTAGTGGGTTTAATCAAGTTGTGTACCTCGCAGGATGGATTACCTCGAACATCACAAGGTCCTCTGCCCTCGCCAGAGCAATAGCCTCCAAGAGAAATATATCCCATAGTTGGCTCTCGCTAGTCAATTTCCAGTCTTCTAGCGACGTTCCAGCATCGCCCAGCTCAACAACTAAGAAACGGGTATCGTCCAGATATCGACTGGGTGAAGGATAAAACTGTGCTCGATCCGGGTCTTGTCGTTTCATCTTCTTTTGAAACGACTGATGTGTCTCGAGAAGCTGACGTGTTGTTTTACCCTGGACGACGTATCGCTCCTTGTATACAACGAAACCTGGGATATCTGCCAGCCATTCCGAGATTTGCAGCTCGCCCTGTACATCCTCTTCAGGGTGAGGCTCTTCATCGACCAAGCCGGAGCGAATTTGGGCTTTGGTTTGTGGCTTTATAGGCGACGGAAGCCGAATAACCTTTATTATGCTTGTACCACGCTCGTTGGTAACACGATATACCTCGGCGTAAGATGCTTCAGCGATCTTTTCAATTCTGTCGTCTGGTGGACAGACATCCTCCCACGTGAGGGTTCTGAGCTGAGTTTGCTGAGCGGCCGCCTCTGAGGCTATCTGAGCCTCCAATAATCTTGAAAAACCGACAGAGTCATCCTCATCATCTGATGGGGTTGAGATTGGCTCTTTAGCCTCAGGAGTGCCTCTCTTCTCGGAGACCTTGAGGGTTGTGTCCTTCTTGATGTTGATAGCCTCGATTATCTTCTCCGAGTCAGGCTCTATGGTCTTTTTCGGCAATTTGGCATTTGGCTTGGTAGCTGATTTCTCATCGAGATGAATTGACGAGACTTTATTTGTTATAAAAGAGATAGAGTCCTTTTTCCTGTTTGATTCTTGTTGGGGCCGTACTGGGCTTTGCGGTAGTTCGGCGAATAAGCGTTCAGCTTTCGACCGTTTTGCTGGTTTTCCATATTTCTTGACCGCAGTACTTCGCGTCATTTCGATGCTCAAACCAAAAAAAAAAAGTATTAGATGTTATTATTCAGATACGGAGGTAGTCTGTAATCACTGATCACCAAGGACCAGTCATGCACGATATAAACATCTTCAACAAGAAAGAATGGTTGGTGGGGCAACGAACCCACTCATAGGTACTTAGGTGTTGTACCAGCCCGTGGAACAGTCAGTTCTTCCACTGTACCCTGGCACCTAGGTGCCTTACCTAAAGGTCAGTCCTAAGATAAGGGACCTTAGGTACTCTCTAGACATTTTCTCTGGCACAATGGCTCTGCATCAAATACGTCCAATGGATACAAAATAAGCAAATGAGATATAGCCATGTAAGAACACATAGATAAGTAGAAACGATAGCATAGCTAGCATCTAGCCTCATATTGAAACGAATGAGCAAGCGTAGGCCTTCAAGAAAGTGGGGCATTGTATGATACACTTACTGAATCCGTCGAGGTGACGACGTAGTTAAAGGGGCTTGGTAGATGCGTTCTCTGTGAATGTACCGGTATCCTGGCATGCAAATAATGGCTGGAGAATGTACTGTCCAGCATGATGTTCCATGTGAATATGCGTACCTAGGATGGATGGTCTCTTAGTCTGAAATACCTACGCAGTCTCCTCCGCAACTGAGGACCCGGCATGTGGGCGGCATATTGATTGATGGATCGTGGCTCATTTCTTGCCTGTTGATGCTGACAGCATAGTACCTTAGTAGCCATGAATAGAAACAATACGACGAACTAGAGCTCATCAGCGGACGTGGAGTAGCACTTGCGAAGAGGCGTTTGCTAGCCGAAGGACCCTTCCGCGCCAAAGACAGAATGCGAGAAGTACCTTAACTGTCTGTGGGCATGAACGAAAATCCCATTAAACATTGAATCGCTAGCGAGCCGAATTGATACTATGGAGAATTGCTGATCTTTTTTTATCACACTGGCAGGGTACTTGGTTCCCCTGAGTGTCATTTCTTTAGCACTGTGAACCTCCACTAAATCCAACTGGATCTGACAGCGCCAGCCCAAGTTGGAGCTCTCAGTACATAGGTAGTAAACTGGTTTGTCATATTTCAAAATCCTTCTTTTCCCTTAGTCTCTACCTAACACCTTTCCTACTCACTACATACCTACCTTTGAAAGACAAAAGGGGGAGGATCCATTGGCTTTTATTGACTCGTCCGTCGCATCTGCTCCAGCTAAGGTAGGTAGGCAGAGTCTCTAAACCATACACTTCAAAGACTTTTGACAGGAGTCGATTTGGCCAATCAAAGACTGAAAGCTGGCCACAGCCCAGTCTTTTGAGCCTCGTCCACGTACCGCCGCACGGTCTGCAATCGAGTTGTCTAATAGAAAGCTTGCGCATGGTAAAAGGAGGCTGTGCATGTGCAATCCGGTCACCACGGCACTTAACCGAACCCCAGCCATAGAAGGATTGGATTCACAGACACTTATCCTACGGAGAACGGGCCAAGCTTACAGTGATTACTTTGCCTGACCACTTGATCATTCGATTAGAGTTGACGATTTGACGACACGACACCGTCTTCATCTGCCATTGCCTTGGCTGTCAGCTTGTCGCTTGGCACCCTCCCACGTCGCTCGACCTCATCGCATTGTATCGACATCAAATAATTGAGTTTTGCTTGCTCGGTCAAACCGTTCATCGCGCAACATCATTTCATCATATCCGCATGCTGGCAACCGCCTTTGCTAGTCGATAGTCTAGCCTTCAACT